GCTCGTCTCCATGAGGTCTGCTGGATGCCTCGGGTACCTGTTTCTTGTCATGCTCGCTGGGGGTGGGGTGGTAGGGAGGGGGCGAGGGGTGGTGTGGGGGGTGCGAGTCGAGGTGGAGGTTTGAGGGGGGGTACGAGGTTTGGGGGATAGGGAAGGGGGAAGGGGGAAGGGGGAAGGGGGAAGGGGGAAGGGGGAAGAGGAAAGAGGGGAGAAAGGGAAAGGATATGGGCAAGGGGAAGGGAGGAGTATGAGTTAGGGTGAAAAGAGAGAGAGAGAGAGAGAGAGAGAGAGAGAGAGAGAGAGAGAGAGAGAGAGAGAGAGAGAGAGAGAGAGAGAGAGAGAGAGAGAGAGAGAGGAGGTGATGGAAGAAAAAAGGAAGAAAGGGTGGGGTGAAAAGGGAAGGAAGAGAGGGTAAGGAGGAGAAAAAGAGGTTTTCGAACTTTACGAAATGGACTTCAGGAAAAAAAAATAATAAAAAGGCCCACGTGCCAATTTAGCATGCGGTGTTGTGTACACTGCCGCCCTCGATTTCGCTACGTGGTGGGGGTATAGCTATCGGCGTGGGACTGAATTCTTGAAGCCCTCCCCTCATCCCCCTTCTGAGGAGGTGCGAACCCTCCCCTCTCCCTCCCCCCCCTCCCCCCCCCTTTCCCAGCTACCTCCCTCGCCACCACACACTACTACGCACCGAGGAACCTTGCAAAATAAAACCGAACTGGTGCCACCTCCGCCCTCCCAGGCCCTACCCAAGCCGTGACAACCACCAGCGAAGACTGCCAGACCCTCGTAGCCCAAGGAAATCCCCTTTCCCCCCCTCAGTAAGCGAAAACCAGGGCGAAACAAACGCCCCACAGCAAGCCGCCTCACACCAGCCCCCGATAAAAAGGAACCTTGGATCAGCAGGCGTGGAGTGCTGGCCGTACTAGGGTATTGATTGTGTGGCCCAACGCTGGCTGGCTAAGTCACAGGCGGCCAGCCAGCGAGCGCTCCAGCCGGGTGAATGGGACCCGTTCCACGATTCTCCCATTTAACCAATGCCAACACTGGGTCACGACGGAAGCCTCTCTTGACCACTTCCCCGCGCAGGTCACCGTCTGCCTCTCACCCCTCCCCCAACAGCACAACGCCCTGCTCCCCCCAACGCCCCTTCCCCCTCCGATACAGCCGCCGTTGTGACCTAGTGGACCAAACTGTCTCGTTGTTTACATCTCTCTCTCCCGCTCTCTCTCTCTCTCTTTCTCCCTCTCGCCCGAGCTCCCGACACTCGGCCGTATCTGCCACTACAGTTTGATCTCTCATCTTTATTCCATTGATTAATCTTGAATTTCGTCTCTCATCGATATAGGTTAACGACGCTTATCAAGCTAGTCTCCTTGTCTCGAACTGACGGTGTTTTTATCTTATCTCGTGAGTCTGTCCAATACGAATAACGATCCAGACCTACTTTGCCTGAACAAGCTGTAGTCGCCCCTTTGTAGCTGGCGGGGAGGGGAGGGAGGGAGGGCTGGGGAATGGGGGAGAGGTATTCATTCACGCAGCGTGAACAACACTGAGATTATGAATGAGACATTTTCCCCTTGCTCACCAGCGAGGCTTCAAGGCACCGAGGGGTAAATTAAGGGCATCCGTTGTGGCGCTGGGGAGGCCCTGACGTCAGGCCCTGTCGTGTTAGGTCTGGTTATCCTCGAATAGCGTGGGCAGTTCTTAAAAGAGGTAATTTAATGACCTTCGGAACTATCGAGTCGTGAATGGGATTGTTAGTGGGTCTGCGGGGCGTTAGTGGCAATCTTGGGGGGAATGTGATTGTGACACTGGCGAGGTCCAGTGCCATGTCCCCTTCGCAGGACGGCGGAACAGGAAATAGGAGTGACAGAGGCCGTGGCACTGCGAATTGCGTGCCAGCGGCTCTCGAAGACATACCCACTGGGTCCTTACCTGATAGGCAGTGTGCGATGCAGCCCTCCTGGTTGAACTTCCTGCAGAGGATGGTCATGAGTGTGGGCATGAGCGGGTTGCTGGCGTGGGCGTGGTCGTAGAGAACGATAGGGACACACTGGTGGAGCCTGGCGAGCCGATCTCCGCCGTCAGCAGCCAAGTGCCGCACGACCTGAGGCAAACTCAGCTTGCCCGAGGCCAGGCGCCGGAGCATCAGGGAGGGGAGGCCTACGCTCACGGCCCCGCGGATGTGTCCTGCTCTGTAGTCGTCGGCGCCACGGCAATCCAGCATCAGTATCTCCTCGACCCCATGTGCCCGCCGCAGCACCTCGCACAGCTCGCCTGCCTCCACCACCGGTGCGACGCTTCCACCACTCATACTGCCACCACTGTATCCTGCTGCAGCCTCACCATCAATAGAAGGCATGGCGGCGCATGGGCACGCTTACAAAACTGCTGCGCCCGATCTGCATTTACTACAACTCACTGGAACATCAAGTGTCAAGCACCAACACCAACAAACACTTCCCAAGCACAGCTCAGCGGCACGTCTTTACTCCCTGCA